CAGCGGCGTCTCGTGGATACCGGAAGCGGCCTGGCCCTCCGGCAGAGCGTTGCCTTCGTCGTCCTCCGCGTCGTTGCTCGCGTCCCCGTCGACCGCCGTCGTATCGGCAGCGTCCGCGGCTGCGGCCGCGCTCGCGACGTTCGTCGACAAGTGTTCCGCTTCCTGCGCGGCGTTCAAATCCGCTTCCACCGCGGCTGGCAGTGCTGGGGCTAACGGCTGGCCAGCTGCCACTGGGCCAGTCTCCGCTGGGCCGGAGTCCTCGTCGTCGTCGTCGTCGTCGTCCTCCTCACCTGAAATTGTTATAGTATTAGGAACAGATACTGGATTGATCAAGTGTTTTAGGAGCGTGAATGGTGGTTTTTGAGCTCGACGCTTGAATGGACGCGGCTCGAGAGGTATATAAGATATCCTGCGGTATCTGGGTCAACGCGAACAAAAGTAGCGCGTAGAAATTCTTTCGGAACTGGGATCGCCGTCGATTTATGTTAATTCGGGCGAGTTTCAGGCTGTACCGTTACGAGCACGCGAAACGCACCGAGTTTGCGTAACGGCTTGCGAGTTCCGTCGATGATACGACACGAATGACGGTACTAATGACGAAAGCAAAAGCTCCCTTTGAGACTGTCGGGGGTATCAGTCGGTGACCCCTTGACCTACGGTACTGTGAGCTTTTCCTCAGTCGTTTTCGAATAGAATTTTAGTAAACTATCACTTAATATGCTCCAAATTTTTGTAAGAAAGAAGAATTTTTGTAAGAGAAATGTAGAGAAATGATATGAAGATATCTGGAAAATCAGCAGAAGCTGTAACTTAATCATTGACAATCAGTGCACTTTATAAACGAGATACAAGCAAAATTTCTGGCAGTGTTAATTCTGAATTGAATATTATTTTTCTATTGCCAACTGCTTCCAAGTAAACGTACAATGTTCCTCTTTCTATACTGAACTATAAACAATAAGACACGTTGAACGTTTAGGATTAGGAAAGAAGCTAGAAAAGAAGCTTATTTCATCAGAAACTATTAAAACACTTCTAATTAACCCTTTGCACCCGAGAGGCGACTCCCAGTCAAATGATCCAGCAAAATTATAAACTTTGGTTCTCATTAACCTTTGTACACTGTATCAATACGTGAAATATTGAAAACAAATAGCTCTGTCACCTAATTTATGTATTTCTCGATAAATCCATTTAAAAGAATCTTGTCTACATCTAATTAGAAAGTCTGGAACATTCCAACTGAAAAACTTTCGAGTGCAAAGGGAAATATATTATTATTATTATTATTAATTGTTATTAATACTAATCAAATATGTTATATTCTAATAAATAATAATTATCAATTAAATATTTATATATATATATAAATAAATATTAAATATTTATACGATTACCTAATATGTCCTCGATGAATCGCTCCAAATAATCAGAATCGTCATCATCGTCATCGTCGTCATCATCGTCGTCGTCATCATCATCGTCGTCGTCGTCGTCACCAGTGATATCAAAATCAACATCGTCGTCGTCGTCGTCATCGTCGTCGTCGTCGTCATCTTCGCTGACCGCGGGCGGCTGAACCGCCGCCTGTCTTCCGGTCGCGACGGCGTTCCGGTTCGACGACTTCTCCTCGGAGAGGATCTTCGGCACCGGTGTTGCGAACGATCCGATCGCCAGGCAGCACATCACTGCCAATACCATCGCGAACTTCATGGCTCTGGAAAGAACGGGGGTCTGTTAATAGCCATTTTATACCTGAGTCGACGAGTACGCGTCCTTCGCGAGTAATAAACATACAATCCCATGGAATTTCGTAATCCCATCGATCAGAGACCCGATCGGTCATCGGTTCGTTCGCCAGTGTTTTTGATAAAATGGCCCTGACAATGGAATTATGCATCCTTCGCGAGTAATAAACATATAATCCGAGACTCGGTCACTGTCGTTCGTTCGCCGGTGCTTTTGATAAAATGGCCCTGACAATGGAATTACGCGTGCAAAGGTCTCACGGGGTCACGATGGAATTTCAGCCGGTCCCGTCACATTCGACGGATTACGATTCCCATGGTATTTCATTCACGCACGCGGCTCTCCGTCCCGTGCGAATAGCTAACGGTAGACAAACGAACGTTACTTGGCCATTTTCCAGGGAAGCCTATGGTAAACGCGCCTCGCCGCTTTGCCATTCGAATCGAGGAGAGATTCTTTCTTGCTCTCGATAGCGAATGCTCGATTCTGCGCGAGGAATTTCGAAGTTCACTGGACGAGATAGGAAGGACACCTTGAACCCCATATGATTTCTCAACTGTGATGTAACTTTGTTATTAATAAATGTATTGGAAAAAAATCGTATGCGTATTCTATCCTTTGCTCTAAAATAGAACTGACAACAGAGACATATTCGAATCCGAGACTCGAATATTTATTGCTAAATGTTTAACACTATACCAGAAGTGTCAGACACCCGAAATTTTCAATTAAAATTATTCTCTCAGTTCAATGATCCTTCAATTAAATTTCAGCGTTATATAGTTAATTTCATAATCAGGTCAATTCATATATGATTAAGCTAGAATAATTCTAGTGAAAATTCCAGGTGTTCCCAGCATTGATAGATAACCTTTGCACTCGAGAGGTGACTCTTAGTCACTTGATTCGATATAACAAAATTACAAAGTGTTATATATAATATTAATTTTATTTCTATAAAATAGCTTTGTTCTTTAATTTACTTATTTCTCATAAGTTAGTTTCAAATGTCGTCTCATAGGAAATGTTTCCATTGAAAAACTTTCGAGTGCAAAGGGTTAAAATCTTCACGAGTCACAGGCAAGCCAAGGGGTTAACCCTTTGCACTCGGAAGTCTCTCAGTAGAAATATTTGAACATTTTCCGATGAGATAAAGACGACGTTTGAAACTAATTTAACGATAATTCACGGAATTAAGCAATAAAGCTATTTCATTTAAATATTTCACATTGCAAAATATAATTTCAATTTAAAATACTGAATATTCAACTTCAGTTTTGCTGTATCAAATCAAATGATGACTGAAGATCACCTCTCGAGTGCAAAGGGTTAACACTAGAACTACCACCAGTCAAAATGACTCGATTTTTTAGCTTAGCAATTATCGATATCTTCGAAGCATCGAATATTCGAAATGATTTTGAAAATAGTTTCACTTGAGTACTATAATGAATGCCTGAAGAAACTGAAAATAATCTATTGTTACAATTTTAATAGTATACTAACCATTCCACGTTCATCTAGCTGAATCTCACTATTACGTAGCATTATTTACAATATAGAATGTTGTCATATAATTGTTTCGAGTGAATTATAGTACAATTCGATTTGGGGGTCACCGGTGACCCATGGCATTCAACGTGTTAAACAGTAAATCAATAGTCCCCTTATTCTATTCAAGCATTCAGTGTAGAAAATAATCTATTGTTACAATTTTAATAGGAATTGTATATTAATCGTATGCTCGGTAGTTCTAGTGTTAAGTACTCGGACAAGTAGCTCGACGATCGAAAACCAACGGAACTTTAGCACTCACCCGGTTCGATCACTGAAATCAGTCTGTCTCGATCCAGGATAACGACGAGAATCCTCTTCCTCGATCACTGATCTATCCAGGAATATCCGAAGGGGTTGTCACCTGTCGGAGATGTCTTTCTCTCTGTTGCTCTGTCTGCGTGCCGGGTTCCTGCGGAACGTGCCGTTTTACCGGAAACACGATCGAGCGTCAATCGGTTCTAGGTGATATCGAGGACGCGACCGATCTACCGAGCGACCCGGTGAGAGTGTTAAAACAGACGAGGCGCCTCGCTACGACCCTTTTATACCGAGCTACCTCCACCTCCTTCGTTCTCGTTCGTCGTCCTCTTTCCCGATCCAGTATTGCGGCTCCTTCGTCTGCGGTCTCCACGTGGCCGACGCTGCGTTTTCCCCCTTCCTCGGACGATGCGCATTCGAAAAACCGAAAAGCTGAAAAGCTACGCCGGTCGTGACGAAATGAGATTGAGATTACCTTGGGACGTTGGGTTGATGAAAGATAGATACAAGATAGAGGATTGGTTCCTGAATGGAGTTCGATAAATTGGGATACGTTTCTAAATATGAGGAATGTTTGATAAACGTTTGAGATGTTTGTTTTGGAATCTAAGATGAGGTGTATTGGAATGTTAACTAGTTAACTGTGGAATTTAGTTGGAAAAATCTCTGGTTTTTTGTAATAAAATTGAAAAATGGAGCGTGTACTCGTCGAAGGACGAATGCACGTAGAGTAGATTTTAATGAAAGATCAAAGCGAAACAAAGAATTACATATTTATGTGAGAAAATAAAGAACTGGTATCATGTCAAGCTTTACGATGACTTTACTAGTTGAACATAGTTAACTGGTTAAAGAGATTCAATGTGTTTTTAATGTTAGATGCATGTGTTTTGAATATTAGAACTATGGTTTCAACGTTATGGACTCGTGAATTATTTGCAACGGGCTGTATGATAATTCATTTAAAGTTGGGGGTGAGAAACGTATCATGATCAGGAAATTACTATTAATTCCAATCGCTTAGCGTTGGCCTCAATGTTAGTGAGTCATTGATATTCACGGAATTTTCAATTGCGAGGGCAGCGGTGTGTCTAATGGCGAATTTTCCAGGTGAAATTCTTTCCCTTAACCCTTTGCGTGACTCGATACGTCTCATTCGCAGGTGTGATTCTTTATTAAGATATTGTGCAAATAGATTATATTATGTTATAATACTGCTCTTTACAAACTAACTATTCTTTCAAATGCATTTCAAAGAAAATATCCTAATGATACAGAGTCACTGATGGAAAAATGCAAAAGAAATTCGTTGTGCTTCTTTGCCAAGATATTTTCAAATATCTTTTTCAAATATCTATTTATAATCTATATTATTATGTTATCTTCAACATTATCAATAAGAAGAAGAAGCTCCCTACAATCTATTCTTTCAAATGCATTTCAACTCAGATATCCAAATGACAGAGTCACCAATGGAAAAAATGCAAAAGAAGTTCATAGTGCAAAGGGTTAAGAGGCCACGCGCCACGGATCCGAAAGACATTCCGTATCCGATCGGCGCGTGTTAGAAACGTCGCGGGATCCAAACGAAAATCTGGAATTCTGTTTGGAGGGCGAGGGCGAGGACGAAGACGAGGAGCGAAAGCAACGGCTGATCGCTGGAGCGATCGTCTAACTGTAAATGCCGGGACTGCTTCCTTCCCCCTCGGTTTAGCCGCATGATACATCATCATACATGCTCCCTCTTACGATGATATAGCGTTCATCCGACGTCACACGACCGCCTCGAAGCAATCGGATTTTTCTCTCAGTTGTATTCCACTCGGCCGCGCCAGATTTCACGTTTCGATTAACCAGCGGCTCCGCAACGATTATCAATTTTAATCAATTTAATCTCCTCTATCCGTTTCCGGCAATCCGCGCGGCTGAGGCTCGGCCTCGCGCTGAAATAACCGAACCATCAAAACAATGCGTTTTAGCCGAGCACTCTGCCGGCGAGGTTCTTACCAACGTTTTCGACACTCGCGTCGGTACAACGTTGACGTAATATCGTTACAATTGTACTCGTGTGTCCCCGTGCTATCGGGGAACTCCTCTCGAGCGCATTATCATCCCTGCGTTTCTTGTTTTTACTTTCTCTTTCAATTTTTCATCTCATCATCGCATTTCATTCTCTCTCTTGACTCAGATTTTTTATACTTCAGCAATTTCCAATCATACTACGCCTCTCTTAAAAATATTCTTTTCTCTGCTATCTTTTAACACGTTGACTGCCACAAGAATTAAGTGTTAACCTTTTGCGGGCTGTCGACGTTTTGGCGAGACGTTCATATTTGGAAGACCAAGCAAACGAGTGAATTAATTACTCGAACATCTAGAGATCTGCAGAGTTTCCTTTTTTTTCTATTAAGCGATTGATAAATCATTTAGTTTCGTCTGAAGGTTTTGTATATCCCTAAGAACCTTCGCCCGCAATGGGTTAATACATATTCTTTCATAACAGAGGCAAATGGTAGTAGAAAGAAGTTAATACTAGTAATATGATACTAAATCATTAAACATGTTATCTACTATTACTAAATAACATGTTATTTATGCAGTATAATAGTATAGTATAATAGTATATCTACTATTACTAAATATACTTATTTAACTAAATTCTCTTGGTGATCATTCTGAAGCAATCTGAGAGCTCCAGTCATCGGTAACCACCGCAGTCAACGTGTTAATAGATACATTAACATAGTCACGTTTCGAATAGTAATAACTATGATTAATTATTTATTAAAAACGTTGGCGCCTCAGGAAACCGCTTCAGTTTATCACCCCTGTCCATTCAACCTTCGGCGGACTAGATCGCGACGCAGTCATCCAATCAGCCCCTTCCGATACACCTTCCGAAAGTCACTCTCTCGATCATTTCACTTCTCTCTCTTTCTCTTTTTTCTCTCTCTCCGTCCGGCCGGTGGCCACCTGTGTACACGAGAATGTGCTCGCCGATCGCAGGCAGGCAGGCAGGCAGGCAGGCAGACACACATCCTGATTACTAATTCACGAACGCCGCGGACTACTTGCTCGACGCATTCTGACACCAAATCCCATATTCCGAGCGCACGGAGGCCCGAGACGGGAAACGGTGATTCTTGCGGGCTCGCGAGTCGCATAAAATGCTAGACGGTTCTGCGAAAACAGCCGGGGAAACTGGTACACGGTAGTCTTCGACGATTCATTGTTTCGTCCTCCGTTTCTTCTATTTCAAGCGTGACGAATGAGACGGTCGATGGAGGATGATCAAGGGAATCGTAATAAAATCATTGATCTCCAGGTGAAACCGGGGACTCGCGTGTACATCCGTCTACGGTTGGATTATCGGCATCGTATCGTATCCTTCTCTTTCTGTTCTTTGTTTTTGTTTTTTTGTGTTAAGGGAAACTGGAACATCTTGTGCGGGAGGAATGCGAATGGGAATGGCGCTGTGGAGAATTAATTGATGATGAGTTTTTTACAATTGAAATCGGTGCCTACGAATTTGAATGTTCGATCGGTGAATAACGAATGACATTCCTCGAGTGAATGACACGGCAAAGAATGCCAGCGCGAACCACGTAGCGTTGAATGATTTACGCACATTAGCTTTTACCATCTCTTCCTTCCCCTCTCTTCCCCTGCCGGCCCCATGCCTGCTGAACATACAAACCTCTGCTGTTTTTTCTTGGTTTTATACGTATGTTTGTTACATATAAGATGTTACGTCTTAGGAAATAGGAGTGTTTTCTCTTAATAAGTTTGACGATACATGGTAAAGTAAAATAGAATTAGCTTTGGATACCTGGAAGTGTAATACAGTAGAATCAAATCGTATAATATTCTTTGTTCAAAGTTTATACCTTGATTTTATGGTTGCGGATAGAGGAAATGGTTTTTTACATCTGGTTCAGGATTCAGAGTATTTACTGTAAGGTGTTTTAAATGTTAGTCTTTGAGAAATTATTGAAGTATGTTTAATACAGCACACCCGATAAGAGAGTTTGTGTAAATTGCTGTGCGGTATTTCATTTGTTCTTGTTCAATAAGAAAATGGTATGAAAAGCGTAATCGGAGAAACTTGATAAGAAGGAAAACAAAGCAGCGAGATTGAGTTCCTTAACTTTGTCCAATAACAATGAGCAATAGTCCTCCAAGTTCTTACTCTCTTTATTTTATTGTGAATAAGTGTGAACAGTTGTTATACGCTTCTTCTATGTAACTCTTGGTATCTGAAAGGCTTCATGATAAATTATATGTGTCAAAATAAATGGTTAGTTCATAATCGTATCGCAAGTAAACCGGTATAAGTATGTATTTTCTATACATTGAAAATTTCTTCAACGAAATCGAAATGAGTTTACTTGATCCGCGTGACAAGAAAATTCTGTTGAATTTCTTCCTCCGAAGATTCTTTAGATTCCTCGGTGAATTTTACGAGCAACTGTATATCATGAAACAATCAATGAATTTCCGTAAATTACAGAATACGCGAGACCTTTCGATTTCTAAAACAACCTGTTGCATCTGTGTCCTCGCTGCGACAGTACTGAAAGTGGGGTTGAGGTTACGTCGTTATATTTGAACTTTCCTCGATTCTCCCTTCCACAAATAATGTTGTGATGTTATTGGTGAAACGAGACAGTGCATAAAGTCTGAGGAGTTGCCTGCGACATTCCTACTTACACAGTTTGGAAAAAATACGGTACGCACATTTTTTTACAATTGATCGATCATTTTCCGATAAGATTAAATTCGTTTGATAATTCAGTTTTTCTATTATATAATTTCCGTTTTCTTATTTTTTATTTACGACTCGAAATAACGAAAAATAAATAAATCGTGTTTACAAATTTCTTGCACGTTTTTTCGGCAATCTTTGTTTATTTAGTAATATTATCACAAGTAAATATCGCATAATGTTATCAAAAATAATTTCAAATTCTATAATGCTGAATTTATTTGATGTAAATATCATGCGAATGTAATAAACAACCTGTACGGTTTTTTTAGTTTTTAATTCAATTACAAGTAGTACGTGCAAGAGTTTGTTTATAAAATTTTTAAAGAAAATTTTTAAGAAAATTATTAATTTAAAAAGTGTTATGACCTTTAAAGAAAAATGTGACAGGCTTGAAGTTTTAATGAAATCGTTATTTCAATGTCACCTTCAACATTTTGAATAAAAACGTGTACTTCCATTACATACATACATTATTAGATCTTAATCAATTACCTTTGATCAGTGATTTACCATTAATAATAATAAGTATCGATTGCAATTATCACTTTTAACTTACATAGGTGTTTCACTTGACTTGTCAGTTGTAATTACATTCTTGCTTAAAGTTAAAAATTCTTGTATTATTTATAGCTTACACAGCAAACTAAAATGAAAAGTATGAGCAATTAGTGTTATCTTTGATCAGAGATAATTGTGCTTGAGTTCTCTTATAAGTTGTTTTCTTTTGTATACATTATATTTTGTTTGTGCATAACACATATGTGAAACAATTCTTTTTATAAAATTAAGTAAAATTATTGCATGTACTTACACATTCTATTTATATATTTTCTAGATCATTTTTTCATAAGACTTAATTTGGTGAAAATTTGGGTATATCAACTTTATGTCATGGCTACTTTAGTAACAAATGTCAGATATAGCCCATTTTTCCACTCCATATGTGCAACTACAATGAGAGTATTGTCTACTAATGCGATGCTAAATCCAAAGGATGATGCAAAGGAAGTAATACTTAAATACTTGGATGGAAAAGATAATGGCATTGTAGTGTTGGGATTGAATCGGCCAACCAGTCGTAATGCTTTCGGAAAAACTTTAGTGAACCAACTAAGCGATGCTATCTCCTGCATCAGAGAAGATAATAAATTACGAGTGTTAATTATCCGCAGCTTGGTTCCAAAAATATTTTGTGCTGGTGCAGATTTGAGAGAAAGGATGAAGATGGATAATTCAGAAGTATCCACATTTGTTTCTTCATTGAGAAACGTTATGAACAATATAGAATCTCTACCTACACCAGTGATATCTGCTATAGATGGTATAGCATTGGGTGGAGGATTAGAATTGGCACTAGCTACTGATATTCGAGTAGCATCATCAGAAGCTAAAATGGGTTTAGTAGAAACGAAATTAGCCATTATGCCAGGAGCTGGTGGCACGCAGCGACTTCCAAGGATAATTGGACCTGCTAAAGCAAAGGAACTTATTTATACAGCACGTATATTAGACGGTGATCATGCTATGAAGATTGGTCTCATTAATGAGGTTGTTCCTCAAAATAAAAATGGAGATGCTGCTTACCAAGCTGCTTTATCCATTGCTAGGGAAATATTACCTAATGGACCAATTGGAGTAAAGTATGTGTTAGACACAAAATTATGTTAAATATTTAACAAATCATATTAACATTCTGTTTTTTTTTTATGTTTCAGAGTAGCCAAAG